GAGACGCACTCGTAGCGGCATGAAAGGGTATTAACGACTATGATTGCACTGACAGCTGCAGACAATGATCTGAAAAGAAGGTGGCGAATTAAAGTAGGAAAACTCATGTGGCAGTCTGGTGATGCCAATGCTGGACTGAGGTTGCTAGGTCTTGAAAACTCGTCTCCTAATCATATGCATGACCAGTTTTACAAAAATGTCAGGCAAAATAAAGGGCACAGAGCCTAGCTGAAGACAGAAGATCAGCAAGCAGAGAGTGACTCACCTTGGCCTGCTTGTTCACGGTCATCCAGACGTCTTGATGGAGATGATTTACAATCTCCAGCAGAATATCAGAATTGCCTGCGGAAGCGCAGTAGTGCAGCGGCGTCTCGAGGGTCTGTATCAGCAAGAAGAGAGAGAGAAGTGAGAGGTTGGTTGCATAAACGAGGGCGTAGATAGCCATGCTTTTGCTTGGACCAACATGTAGCGTGTGACCATTTCATAGAAGCCTTGGAGGTGTCCGACTCCAGAAACATGGTGAGGATCTAATGCAGTTGGGCGCCACTGGTCTGAGGAATGGAGGTGTGCAGGAGGGTCCCGTATTAAGTTATTGAAGTGCACAGATTCGGTAGACTTTGAAATTACCAGAAGATCTAGATTAAGGATTGAAGTCATCTTTGATCGCTTAGGCTGACGAAAATAATTTAGTAAAGTGGTTCGACTTCGTCCTTGCAACTTGCTCATATTGTCCGAGAGACCTTTTCAGAGTCATTTGCCATACTCGTGCTCGTTTTTATCGTTTTATCGTGAACTTGGTACATTATCAGAATTTTCGCAGGTCTTTTAATCTCGCAAGTTTCAGCATAAAACTACAACTAGTCAATGAGACAAAAAAATTATAGAAATTGAACAATTCAGTGACGATGCGGACTACAATGGAAAAGAAATGTCTGGAAATGATCATGGATATTATGGATTACGGACGAGATTAGCTCATCTGGGTCCCTCTGACAATGCAACGAAGTCGTGAAAGCGAGGTCAATTCAGTTTTATGCAACGAAAGAAGACAGCGATCTTAGTAAAGACCGCACCATCTTGGTCTTCATACCCTCGAGTAAAATAATGTATTGGCTAATTTACCACAATAAAGAGTATACAAGTACTTGCTATGCCAAAAAGCTTTATTATACAGGCTGGGCTGAGGTTTTGACCTCACCCTAGTCTCATCATCATCCCTAACAGAATTCGTAACCAGAGCGTATATATTTGGCGGCGGCATCACCACCATGTGCAGCACCGGGTGCCAATTGATGATAGGCAAAGATAACTTTTAGGTATAACTAATTAGTTGGTATGATGTGGTGGTAAGAAAAGCCTCCAGGATCCATTACGACAAATGCTAACAATGCGGCCTTGTTCAGTGATACAATTTGAGGCATAGGCTTAATTCATACCAAGCGAAGCAACAGGTAACTTTAAGACATCGAAGACATGTATACGCCCTAGGTCGCATAAAGTTATAAGGAACTGATATACAATTTTCCCACAATCATATGACTAGGCTCCATGGTTCCATTCAGTTATAGTTAGCCTTTCCTCCCAGAAGGTATTTTCATCTGGAATGAACCTGACTACGGTTTCGACTTCTCCTGGGTCTCATTGGCGCCCCCAAATGGAATAGAAATTGGGAAAGTACAATGTCTAAATTCGACATGTTACCAGCACGACACATTGCTACAGATGCAAATAAATCACAGTACAGACGCGAATCTTAAAGCCAGTCAGACTTTTCCCATATTATATTTTTGTCGTGGGGCTGCCGATGAAGCAAACTTGAGTTTTCTATTGCACTCGACTACACTACTTATATTTGTATTAAGTAGGTTTCCAAATGACCAATAAATCTTGAATAGAATTTTTATTTATTTTAGATTGCTTCATCTAATGTAGGACTGGTGGTTGAATCTTCCCATATTGCTAGGAAGAGGTCTTAAGATGCCAGCAAATTTTTCTTAGCTTTGCTGCCATCAGGTATTCTAAACAAGAGTGAACTCCAGTTTGACGTGTTTGAAACTATAGTATTGTAGCAAATTAAGCTATCCGTCTATTATCACCTTACGCGTCATAGGGTAAATACAGCTCTTATTCAACATCTACCTCTAATTCTGAAAGAGACTCAATGAGAATTCAAAACGCCTACTATTTCCGGTCTGTTCAAGGTGTAAAGATACACCAACCCCTCGATATAAATATATCAAATAAAAAAAATTCGTAAATCGACCACACCAGATGGCGACGTCTGATTTCCGTTTCGATCAGTTATTTTGTTTTACTACAGCATTCATGTTACGCAGCCAACGAGACATCCTGCCTCGTTTGGATTGAGAACTTTCTGTGCTTTATGCAAACATTTGATAGACATCTTCAGAGCATTAATTCGACACTAATCCAGTAGTAGTCGGCTCTGCCTCACCTGTTATAAATGATACAACCTTAGACGAAAATTTACAGGAATATAAATACATGCATAGAAAATCATTTGCTTAGTTCCTTTTCATATTGACATGTTAGTATAAACAGACACATATCCAAGTGTAAGAACCTAGATTAATATTTTTTATATAGTTAAATTATTCTTTATTCATCTACCTATCTATATCTATGTATTTTCGCTTTTCTTCATGGCATATATAGCAGGTAAGGTGGAGACGAATAGTCTTCTTTAATGAGTGCTAACATAAAGCTTTTTAAAAAATGAGATCCAGCTTAGATGACGCCTGTCGGGTGACATGGTGGGTGACAGCTCAGCCCGTTTTTACCCGAAACGAGGAGGAATGTC